CGCCCCTAGAGATAGACGCCCATAGAGATAGGCGCCCCTAGAGATAGGCGCCCATAGAGATAGGCGCCCATAGAGATAGGCGCCCCTAGAGATAGGCGCCCATAGAGATAGGCGCCCATAGAGATTGGCGCCCAAAGAGATAGGCGCCTCTAGAGATTGGCGCCCCTAAAGAGAGGCGCCCATAGAGATAGGCGCACATAGAGATAAGCGCCCCTAGAGATAGGCGCCTATAGAGATAGGCGCCGCTAAAGATAGGCGCCCATAGAGATAGGCGCCACTAGAGATAGGCGCCCATAGAGATAGGCGCCCATAGAGATAGGCGCCCCTAGAGATAGGCGCCCCTAGAGATAGGCGCCCCTAGAGATAGGCGCCACTAGAGATAGGTGCCCCTAGAGGTAGGCGCCCCTAGAGATGGGCGCCCATAGAGATAGGCGCCTCTAGAGATAGGCGCCCCTAAGAGAGGCGCCCATAGAGATAGGCGCCTATAGAGATATGCGCCCCTAGAGATAGGCGCCCCTAGAGATAGACGCCCATAGAGATAGGCGCCCCTAGAGATAGGCGCCCATAGAGATAGGCGCCCATAGAGATAGGCGCCCTAGAGATAGGCGCCCATAGAGATAGGCGCCCATAGAGATTGGCGCCCAAAGAGATAGGCGCCTCTAGAGATAGGCGCCCCTAAGAGAGGCCCCATAGAGATAGGCGCACATAGAGATAAGCGCCCCTAGAGATAGGCGCCCTATAGAGATAGGCGCCCCTAAAGATAGGCGCCCATAGAGATAGGCGCCCCTAGAGATAGGCGCCCATAGAGATAGGCGCCCATAGAGATAGGCGCCCTAGAGATAGGCGCCCCTAGAGATAGGCGCCCATAGAGATAGGCGCCCAAAGAGATAGGCACCCATAGAGATAGGCGCCCATAGAGATAGGCGCCCATAGAGATAGGCGCCCATAGAGATAGGCGCCCCTAGAGATAGGCGCCCATAGAGATAGGCGCCACTAGAGATAGGCGCCCCTAGAGATAGGCGCCCTAAGATAGGCGCCCATAGAGATAGGCGCCCCTAGAGATAGGCGCCCATAGAGATAGGCGCCCATAGAGATAGGCGCCCCTAGAGATAGGCGCCCCTAGAGATAGGCGCCCATAGAGATAGGCGCCCAAAGAGATAGGCGCCCATAGAGATAGGCGCCCTAGAGATAGGCCCCTAAGATAGGCGCCCATAGAGATAGGTGCCCCTAGAGATAGGCGCCCATAGAGATAGGCGCCCCTAGAGATAGGCGCCCATAGAGATAGGCGCCCATAGAGATAGGCGCCCCTAGAGATAGGCGCCCCTAGAGATAGGCGCCCATAGAGATAGGCGCCCAAGAGATAGGCGCCCATAGAGATAGGCGCCCATAGAGATAGGCGCCCATAGAGATAGGCGCCCCTAGAGATGGCGCCCCTAGAGATAGGCGCCCATAGAGATAGGCGCCATAGAGATATGTGCCCCTAGAGATAGGCGCCCCTAGAGATAGACGCCCATAGAGATAGGCGCCCTAGAGATAGGCGCCCATAGAGATAGGCGCCCATAGAGATAGGCGCCCCTAGAGATAGGCGCCCATAGAGATAGGCGCCCATAGAGATAGGCGCCCAAAGAGATAGGCGCCCCTAGAGATAGGCGCCCCTAAGATAGGCGCCCATAGAGATAGGCGCCATAGAGATAGGCGCCCCTAGAGATAGGCGCCTATAGAGATAGGCGCCGCTAAAGATAGGCGCCCATAGAGATAGGCGCCCCTAGAGATAGGCGCCCATAGAGATAGGCGCCCATAGAGATAGGCGCCCCTAGAGATAGGCGCCCCTAGAGATAGGCGCCCATAGAGATAGGCGCCAAAGAGATAGGCACCCTAGAGATAGGCGCCCATAGAGATAGGCGCCCATAGAGATAGGCGCCCATAGAGATAGGCGCCCTAGAGATAGGCCCTATAGAGATAGGCGCCACTAGAGATAGGCGCCCCTAGAGATAGGCGCCGCTAAAGATAGGCGCCCATAGAGATAGGCGCCCCTAGAGATAGGCGCCCATAGAGATAGGCGCCCATAGAGATAGGCGCCCCTAGAGATAGGCGCCCCTAGAGATAGGCGCCCATAGAGATAGGCGCCCAAAGAGATAGGCACCCATAGAGATAGGGCGCCCATAGAGATAGGCGCCCATAGAGATAGGCGCCCATAGAGATAGGCGCCCCTAGAGATAGGCGCCCATAGAGATAGGCGCCCATAGAGATAGGCACCCATAGGATAGGCGCCCATAGAGATAGGCGCCCATAGAGATAGGCGCCCAAAGAGATAGGCGCCATAGAGATAGGCGCCCATAGAGATAGGCGCCCATAGAGATAGGCGCACATAGAGATAGGCGCCCCTAGAGATAGGCGCCCATAGAGATAGGCGCCACTAGAGATAGGCGCCCTAGAGATAGGCGCCCATAGAGATAGGCGCCCAAGAGATAGGCGCCCATAGAGATAGGCGCCCATAGAGATAGGCGCCCATAGAGATAGGCGCCCATAGAGATAGGCGCCCCTAGAGATAGGCGCCCTAGAGATAGGCGCCCCTAGAGATAGCCGCCCCTAGAGATAGGCGCCTAGAGATAGGCGCCCTAGAGATAGGCGCCCCTGGAGATAGGCACCCATAGAGATAGGCGCCCATAGAGATAGGCGCCCATAGAGATAGGCGCCCCTAGAGATAGGCGCCCATAGAGATAGGCGCCCAAAGAGATAGGCACCATAGAGATAGGCGCCCATAGAGATAGGCGCCCATAGAGATAGGCGCCCATAGAGATAGGCGCCCCTAGAGATAGGCGCCCTAGAGATAGGCGCTACTAGAGATAGGCGCCCCTAGAGATAGGCGCCCTAGAGATAGGCGCCCTAGAGATAGGCGCCCCTAGAGATAGGCGCCCATAGAGATAGGCGCCTTAGAGATAGGCGCCCCTAAAGATAGGCGCCCATAGAGATAGGCGCCCATAGAGATAGCGCCCCTAGAGATAGGCGCCTATAGAGATAGGCGCCCCTAGAGATAGGCGCCCATAGAGATAGGCGCCCCTAGAGATAGGCGCCCATAGAGATAGGCGCCCATAGAGATAGGCGCCCATAGAGATAGGCGCCCATAGAGATAGGCGCCCATAGAGATAGGCGCCCATAAGATAGGCGCCCATAGAGATAGGGCGCCTATGAGATATGTGCCCCTAGAGATAGGCGCCCCTAGAGATAGACGCCCATAGAGATAGGCGCCCCTAGAGATAGGCGCCCATAGAGATAGGCGCCCATAGAGATAGGCGCCCCTAGAGATAGGCGCCCATAGAGATAGGCGCCCATAGAGATAGGCGCCCAAAGAGATAGGCGCCTCTAGAGATGGGCGCCCCTAAAGAGAGGCGCCCATAGAGATAGGCGCCCATAGAGATAAGCGCCCCTAGAGATAGGCGCCTATAGAGATAGGCGCCGCTAAAGATAGGCGCCCATAGAGATAGGCGCCCCTAGAGATAGGCGCCATAGAGATAGGCGCCCATAGAGATAGGCCCCCTAGAGATAGGCGCCCCTAGAGATAGGCGCCCATAGAGATAGGCGCCCCAAGAGATAGGCACCCATAGAGATAGGCGCCCATAGAGATAGGCGCCCATAGAGATAGGCGCCCATAGAGATAGGCGCCCCTAGAGATAGGCGCCCATAGAGATAGGCGCCCATAGAGATAGGCGCCCCTAGAGATAGGCGCCGCTAGAGATAGGCGCCCATAGAGATAGGCGCCCCTAGAGATAGGCGCCCATAGAGATAGGCGCCCTAGAGATTGGCGCCCCTAAAGATAGGCGCCCATAGAGATAGGCGCCCATAGAGATAAGCGCCCCTAGAGATAGGCGCCTATAGAGATAGGCGCCGCTAGAGATAGGCGCCCATAGAGATAGGCGCCCCTAGAGATAGGCGCCCATAGAGATAGGCGCCCATAGGGATAGGCGCCCATAGGGATAGGCGCCCCTAGAGATAGGCGCCCATAGAGATAGGCGCCCAAAGAGATAGGCACCCATAGAGATAGGCGCCCATAGAGATAGGCGCCCATAGAGATAGGCGCCCATAGAGATAGGCGCCCTAGAGATCGGTGCCCTATAGAGATAGGCGCCACTAGAGATAGGCGCCCCTAGAGATAGGCGCCGCTAAGATAGGCGCCCATAGAGATAGGCGCCCCTAGAGATAGGCGCCCATAGAGATAGGCGCCCATAGAGATAGGCGCCCCTAGAGATAGGCGCCCCTAGAGATAGGCGCCCATAGAGATAGGCGCCCAAAGAGATAGGCACCCATAGAGATAGGCGCCCATAGAGATAGGCGCCCATAGAGATAGGCGCCCATAGAGATAGGCGCCCCTAGAGATAGTGCCCATAGAGATAGGCGCCACTAGAGATAGGCGCCCCTAGAGATAGGCGCCCTAGAGATAGGCGCCCATAGAGATAGGCGCCCTAGAGATAGGCGCCCATAGAGATAGGCGCCCCTAGAGATAGGCGCCCCTAGAGATAGGCGCCCATAGAGATAGGCGCCCATAGAGATAAGCGCCCCTAGAGATAGGCCCTATAGAGATAGGCCCGCTAAAGATAGGCGCCCATAGAGATAGGCGCCCCTAGAGATAGGCGCCCATAGAGATAGGCGCCCATAGAGATAGGCGCCCATAGAGATAGGCGCCCCTAGAGATAGGCGCCCATAGAGATAGGCGCCCAAAGAGATAGGCACCCATAGAGATAGGCGCCCATAGAGATAGGCGCCCATAGAGATAGGCGCCCCTAGAGATAGGCGCCCATAGAGATAGGCGCCCATAGAGATAGGCGCCCCTAGAGATAGGCGCCCCTAGAGATAGGCGCCCATAGAGATAGGCGCCCAAAGAGATAGGCGCCCATAGAGATAGGCGCCCATAGAGATAGGCGCCCATAGAGATAGGCGCCCATAGAGATAGGCGCCCCTAGAGATAGGCGCCCATAGAGATAGGCGCCCTAGAGATAGGCGCCCTAGAGATAGGCGCCGCTAAAGATAGGCGCCCATAGAGATAGGCGCCCTAGAGATAGGCGCCCATAGAGATAGGCGCCTCTAGAGATAGGCGCCCCTAAAGATAGGCGCCATAGAGATAGGCGCCCATAGAGATAGGCGCCCCTAGAGATAGGCGCCCATAGAGATAGGCGCCCTAGAGATAGGCGCCCATAGAGATAGGCGCCCCTAGAGATAGGCGCCCATAGAGATAGGCGCCCATAGAGATAGGCGCCCATAGGGATAGGCGCCCCTAGAGATAGGCGCCCATAGAGATAGGCGCCCAAGAGATAGGCGCCCATAGAGATAGGCGCCCATAGAGATAGGCGCCCATAGAGATAGGCGCCCATAGAGATAGGCGCCCCTAGAGATAGGCGCCATAGAGATAGGCGCCCAGAGATAGGCGCCCCTAGAGATAGGCGCGCTAAAGATAGGCGCCCATAGAGATAGGCGCCCCTAGAGATAGGCGCCCATAGAGATAGGCGCCCATAGAGATAGGCGCCCCTAGAGATAGGCGCCCTAGAGATAGGCGCCCATAGAGATAGGCGCCCAAGAGATAGGCGCCCATAGATATAGGGCGCCCATAGAGATAGGCGCCCATAGAGATAGGCGCCCATAGAGATAGGCGCCCCTAGAGATAGGCGCCCATAGAGATAGGCGCCCTAGAGATAGGCGCCCCTAGAGATAGGCGCCCTAGAGATAGGCGCCCATAGAGATAGGCGCCCCTAGAGATAGGCGCCCATAGAGATAGGCGCCCCTAGAGATTGGCGCCCTAAAGAGAGGCGCCCATAGAGATAGGCGCCCATAGAGATAAGCGCCCCTAGAGATAGGCGCCTATAGAGATAGGCGCCGCTAAAGATAGGCGCCCATAGAGATAGGCGCCCCTAGAGATAGGCGCCCATAGAGATAGGCGCCCATAGAGATAGGCGCCCATAGAGATAGGCGCCCCTAGAGATAGGCGCCCATAGAGATAGGCGCCCAAGAGATAGGCACCCATAGAGATAGGCGCCTATAGAGATAGGCGCCCCTAGAGATAGGCGCCTATAGAGATAGGCGCCCTAGAGATAGGCGCCCATAGAGATAGGCGCCTATAGAGATAGGCGCCTATAGAGATAGGCGCCCCTAGAGATAGGCGCCTATAGAGATAGGCGCCTATAGAGATAGGCGCCCATAGAGATAGGCGCCCCTAGAGATAGGCGCCCCTAGAGATAGGCGCCCATAGAGATAGGCGCCGCTAAAGATAGGCGCCCATAGAGATAGGCGCCCCTAGAGATAGGCGCCCATAGAGATAGGCGCCCATAGAGATAGGCGCCCATAGAGATAGGCGCCCCTAGAGATAGGCGCCCATAGAGATAGGCGCCCAAGAGATAGGCACCCATAGAGATAGGCGCCCATAGAGATAGGCGCCCATAGAGATAGGCGCCCATAGAGATAGGCGCCCCTAGAGAATAGGGCCCATAGAGATAGGCGCCACTAGAGATAGGCGCCCCTAGAGATAGGCGCCCATAAAGATAGGCGCCCATAGAGATAGGCGCCCCTAGAGATAGGCGCCCATAGAGATAGGCGCCCATAGAGATAGGCGCCCCTAGAGATAGGCGCCCCTAGAGATAGGCGCCCATAGAGATAGGCGCCCATAGAGATAGGCACCCATAGAGATAGGCGCCCATAGAGATAGGCGCCCATAGAGATAGGCGCCCATAGAGATAGGCGCCCCTAGAGATAGGCGCCCATAGAGATAGGCGCCCATAGAGATAGGCGCCCATAGGGATAGGCGCCCATAGAGATAGGCGCCCATAGAGATAGGCGCCCAAAGAGATAGGCGCCCATAGGGATAGGCGCCCATAGAGATAGGCGCCCATAGAGATAGGCGCACATAGAGATAGGCGCCCCTAGAGATAGGCGCCCATCGCGATAGCCGCCCTCAGAGATAGGCGCCCATAGAGATAGGCGCCCCTAGATAGGCGCCTATAGAGTTAGGCGCCGCTAAAGATAGGCGCCCCATAGAGATAGGCGCCCCTAGAGATAGGCGCCCATAGAGATAGGCGCCCATAGAGATAGGCGCCCCTAGAGATAGGCGCCCCTAGAGATAGGCGCCCATAGAGATAGGCGCCCAAAGAGATAGGCACCCATAGAGATAGGCGCCCATAGAGATAGGCGCCCATAGAGATAGGCGCCCATAGAGATAGGCGCCCCTAGAGATAGGCGCCATAGAGATAGGCGCCACTAGAGATAGGTGCCCCTAGAGATAGGCGCCCATAGAGATAGGCGCCCGTAGAGATAGGCGCCCCTAGAGATAGGCGCCCATAGAGATAGGCGCCCATAGAGATAGGCGCCCCTAGAGATAGGGCCCATAGAGATAGGCGCCCCTAGAGATAGCCGCCCCTAGAGATAGGCGCCCCTAGAGATAGGCGCCCCTAGAGATAGGCGCCCCTGGAGATAGGCGCCACTAGAGATAGGTCCCCTAGAGGTAGGCGCCCCTAGAGAGGGCGCCCATAGAGATAGGCGCCTCTAGAGATTGGCGCCCCTAAAGAGAGGCGCCCATAGAGATAGGCGCCTATAGAGATATATGCCCCTAGAGATAGGCCCCTAGAGATAGGCGCCCATAGAGATAGGCGCCCATAGAGATAGGCGCCCATAGAGATAGGCGCCCATAGAGATAGGCGCCCCTAGAGATAGGCGCCCATAGAGATAGGCGCCCATAGAGATAGGCGCCCAAAGAGATAGGCGCCTCTAGAGATTGGCGCCCCTAAATAGAGGCACCCTATAGATATGGCGCCCTAGAGATAAGCGCCCCTAGAGATAGGCGCCTATAGAGATAGGCGCCGCTAAAGATAGGCGCCCATAGAGATAGGCGCCCCTAGAGATAGGCGCCCATAGAGATAGGCGCCCATAGAGATAGGCGCCCCTAGAGATAGGCGCCCCTAGAGATAGGCGCCCATAGAGATAGGCGCCCATAAGAGATAGGCGCTTATAGAGATAGGCGCCCATAGAGATAGGCGCCCATAGAGATAGGCGCCCATAGAGATAGGCGCCCTAGAGAGAAGTGCCCATAGAGATAGGCGCCACTAGAGATAGGCGCCCCTAGAGATAGGCGCCCTAGAGATAGGCGCCCATAGAGATAGGCGCCCCTAGAGATAGGCGCCCATAGAGATAGGCGCCCATAGAGATAGGCGCCCCTAGAGATAGGCGCCCTATAGAGATAGGCGCCCCTAGAGATAGGCGCCGCTAAAGATAGGCGCCCATAGAGAAGGCGCCCCTATAGATAGGCGCCCATAGAGATAGGCGCCCATAGAGATAGGCGCCCCTAGAGATAGGCGCCCCTAGAGATAGGCGCCCATAGAGATAGGCGCCCAAAGAGATAGGCACCCTAGAGATACGCCCATAGAGATAGGCGCCCATAGAGATAGGCGCCCATAGAGATAGGCGCCCCTAGAGATAGGCGCCCATAGAGATAGGCGCCACTAGAGATAGGCGCCCCTAGAGATAGGCGCCCTAGAGATAGGCGCCCGTAGAGATAGGCGCCCATAGAGATATGCGCCCATAGAGATAGGCGCCCATAGAGATAGGCGCCCCTAGAGATAGGCGCCCTAGAGATAGGCGCCCATAGAGATAGGCGCCCAAGAGATAGGCGCCCATAGAGATAGGCGCCCCTAGAGATAGGCGCCCATAGAGATAGGCGCCCCTAGAGATAGCCGCCCCTAGAGATAGGCATCCCTAGAGATAGGCGCCCCTAGAGATAGGCGCCCCTGAGATAGGCGCCATAGAGATAGGCGCCCCTAGAGATAGGCCCCCTAGAGATGGGCGCCCATAGAGATAGGCGCCTCTAGAAATTGGGCGCCCCTAAAGAGATAGCGCCCATAGAGATAGGCGCCTATAGAGATATGCGCCCCTAGAGATAGGCGCCCCTAGAGATAGGCGCCCATAGAGATAGGCGCCCATAGAGATATGCGCCCATAGAGATAGGCGCCCTAGAGATAGGCGCCCCTAGAGATAGGCGCCCATAGAGATAGGCGCCCAAAGAGATAGGCGCCTCTAGAGATTGGCGCCCCTAGAGATAGGCGCCATAGAGATAGGCGCATATAGAGATAGGCGCCCCTAGAGATAGGCGCCCTTAGAGATAGGCGCCCATAAGATAGGCGCCGCTAAAGATAGGCGCCCCTAGAGATAGGCGCCCCTAGAGATAGGCGCCCATAGAGATAGGCGCCCATAGAGATAGGCGCCCCTAGAGATAGGCGCCCCTAGAGATAGGCGCCCATAGAGATAGGCGCCCATAGAGATAGGCGCCCATAGAGATAGGCGCCCATAGAGATAGGCGCCCATAGAGATAGGCGCCCCTAGAGATAGGCGCCCATAGAGATATGCGCCCCTAGAGATAGGCGCCCCTAGAGATAGGCGCCCCTAGAGATAGGCGCCCATAGAGATAGGCGCCCAAAGAGATAGGCGCCCTAGAGATAGGCGCCCCTAGAGATAGGCGCCCAAAGAGATAGGCGCCCTAGAGATAGGCGCCCCTAGAGATAGCACCCCTAGAGATAGGCGCCCTATAGGTATGCGCCCTAGCCCCTAGAGATAGGCGCCTCTAGAGATAGTGCCCCTAGAGATAGGCGCCCCTAGAGATGGGCGCCCATAGTGATAGGCGCCTCTAGAGATAGGCGCCCCTAGAGATAGGCGCCCATAGAGATAGCGCCCATAGAGATAGGCGCCCTAGAGATAGGCGCCCCTAGAGATAGGCGCCCATAGAGATAGGCGCCCGTAGAGATAGGCGCCCATAGAGATAGGCGCCCATAGAGATAGGCGCCCATAGAGATAGGCGCCCCTAGAGATAGGCGCCCATAGAGATAGGCCCCTAGAGATAGGCGCCCCTAGAGATAGGCCCCTAGAGATAGGCGCCCCTAGAGATAGGGCGCCCCTAGAGATAGGCGCCACTAAGATAGGTGCCCCTAGAGATAGGCGCCCCTAGAGATGGGCGCCCATAGAGATAGGCGCCTCTAGAGATTGGCGCCCCTAAAGATAGGCCCCATAGAGATAGGCGCCTATAGAGATAGGTGCCCCTAGAGATAGGCGCCCCTAGAGATAGGCGCCCATAGAGATAGGCGCCCCTAGAGATAGGCGCCCATAGAGATAGGCGCCCATAGAGATAGGCGCCCCTAGAGATAGGCGCCATAGAGATAGGCGCCCATAGAGATTGGCGCCCAAGATATAGGCGCCTCTAGAGATTGGCGCCCCTAAAGAGAGGCGCCCATAGAGATAGGCGCCACATAGAGATAGGCGCCCCTAGAGATAGGCGCCTATAGAGATAGGCGCCGCTAAAGATAGGCGCCCATAGAGATAGGCGCCCCTAGAGATAGGCGCCCATAGAGATAGGCGCCCTAGAGATAGGCGCCCTAGAGATAGGCGCCCCTAGAGATAGGCGCCCATAGAGATAGGCGCCCAAAGAGATAGGCGCCCATAGAGATAGGCGCCCATAGAGATAGGCGCCCTAGAGATAGGCGCCCATAGAGATAGGCGCCCCTAGAGATAGGTGCCCATAGAGATAGGCGCCACTAGAGATAGGCGCCCCTAGAGATAGGCGCCCTAGAGATAGGCGCCCATAGAGATAGGCGCCCCTAGAGATAGGCGCCCATAGAGATAGGCGCCCATAGAGATAGGCGCCCCTAGAGATAGGCGCCCCTAGAGATAGGCGCCCTAGAGATAGGCGCCCTAAAGATAGGCGCCCATAGAGATAGGCGCCCCTAGAGATAGGCGCCCATAGAGATAGGCGCCCATAGAGATAGGCGCCCCTAGAGATAGGCGCCCCTAGAGATAGGCGCCCCTAGAGATAGGCGCCCAAAGAGATAGGCGCCCATAGAGATAGGCGCCCATAGGCGCCCCCATAGAGATAGGCGCCCTAGAGATAGGCGCCCATAGAGATAGGCGCCCCTAGAGATAGGCGCCCATAGAGATAGGCGCCACTAGAGATAGGCGCCCCTAGAGATAGGCGCCCATAGAGATAGGCGCCCGTAGAGATAGGCGCCCATAGAGATATGCGCCCATAGAGATAGGCGCCCATAGAGATAGGCGCCCCTAGAGATAGGCGCCCCTAGAGATAGGCGCCCATAGAGATAGGCGCCCAAAGAGATAGGCGCCCATAGAGATAGGCGCCCATAGAGATAGGCGCCCATAGAGATAGGCGCCCCTAGAGATAGCCGCCCTAGAGATAGGCATCCCTAGAGATAGGCGCCCCTAGAGATAGGCGCCCTGGAGATAGGCGCCACTAGAGATAGGTGCCCTAGAGATAGGCGCCCCTAGAGATGGGCGCCCATAGAGATAGGCGCCTCTAGAAATTGGCGCCCCTAAAGAGAGGCGCCCATAGAGATAGGCGCCTATAGAGATATGTGCCCCTAGAGATAGGCGCCCCTAGAGATAGACGCCCATAGAGATAGGCGCCCATAGAGATAGGCGCCCATAGAGATAGGCGCCCCTAGAGATAGGCGCCCCTAGAGATAGGCGCCCATAGAGATAGGCGCCCTAAAGAGATAGGCGCCCTCTAGAGATAGGCGCCCCTAAGAGAAGGCGCCATAGAGATAGGCGCCCATAGAGATAGCGCCCCTAGAGATAGGCGCCCTTAGAGATAGGCGCCCATAGAGATAGGCGCCCTAGAGATAGGCGCCCTATAGAGATAGGCCCCCTAGAGATAGGCGCCCATAGAGATAGGCGCCCATAGAGATAGGCGCCCTAGAGATAGGCGCCCCTAGAGATAGGCGCCCATAGAGATAGGCGCCCAAAGAGATAGGCGCCCATAGAGATAGGCGCCCATAGAGATAGGCGCCCATAGAGATAGGCGCCCCTAGAGATAGGCGCCCATAG